CCTAAAATGTTAAAAGCATATGATAATTGGAATAAAATTTTAGAAAAAATCAATATTACTAACCGTTTAGAACCTCTTCGACTACCATCTCCACTTCTATAATTAATTAATAGTTGTATTATAAAAGATAAATTATATTGCAAAGTTTATTCATATAAAAACGAACTTACGAACTACTCATCTCCGGCAGTATAGAATCTTCCATTCTTTGATCCGACTCAGGAATATTAAGGAAAGGTAGAGCATTAGGACCTAAACATTTTCTTCCACCTTTTACAATGAAATCTTCTTCAGTGAAATGTGCTGAACAAATGCGTAATGAACTTTTCCATGTCAAATGTTCCATTCTAATAAGCAATAAATATTTCTTAAACATTTCGCCTTCAGGTAATCTACATCATAAAATTTTATTTATTTTTATATTTATTTCTTTTTATATTTGGTTAAAACAATTTTATATTATTACCTGTGAAATGATATTTCACTCTCTGGAGGAAGTAACCTCTGAACATTTTTACAATTTGGCACACAACAAGCCATACTGTAAAATAAATTAAAATAATTAAACAAAAACAATAAATGTTTATACATACACTATTATTATGGGAACTAGTGAAAAATGTTTTACTTACCTTTGTAAATTAACACGTTTTAACGTTAATTTAAATCTATTTAAAACCCAAAAGCTATACAACTAAACTTAAAAACTATTCTAAGGAAACACTAACTAACGCAAAAATCTAACAACTATAAAAATAAACTAAATAAACTATGTACTAAAAAACACTAAGAAAAATAATAAGAACACTAAGAAAAATAAGAAGACGCTAAGACAATGAAACAACTACAACGGCGGATAGATCAAGAGTGATGTTGCTTTTAAAAGAAATATTTTACCCAACCAACAAATACATTCAGATGTTTGTTTTGTAGGCCTTTCTTACCTGCTAGGGACCCAAATCTATTTTTACATTTTTCAAAGAAAAAACCTTATTCTTTTCAGGTAGTTCTTTTTTCTCATTTTATGCAATGCTTTTATTTCAATATTTTATTCCATTATATCAATATATTACATGCCCTGTGATTGAAAACAATAAACAATTTCTTCAATGATAATTATTCTAATTTCTTTTAAAGAATTCTTTAAATTGCTATATTGTTATAGTAATTTATTGTTTTAAAGTATTTCAGAATAAGAACAATAATCTCCTTCTTGCAACCGTAACAATTCACCATATTAATATGATTATAATCAATTACACACAATGTAATCTATCAATATAATCAATATAATTAGCCTATTAAGTTATTGATATAGGTATTTTTAAATATATCACTTATAGGTTAGGTTTTAAGTGAAAAAGGACAAAACAATAACTAACTTACTTCCATCCTACTTCCCAGCCATAAACNCACTTTTATAGCAGCGAAAATACTAGAATAAATTGTTGAAAAACTTGAATAATGTTCGATTAAGTGTAAAATTAGGTTCTATCATTATTTTACATTGAAAGTTGTTAATTACAACTTTGATACGAGATTTTGTATTGAAGTATCGATACGGGTCGTGTTAACAGTTTCTACATCCGCCCAAGGTTCGTAAAGCGCATTGTACAATACGCTTTACGGACCTTGCATCCGCCATGCTGTCGCCAGACAAACCGGAAACCCGCCCTCAGAAACTTCGAGTTGTTCTCATAAAAGGAAATAAAACCTACCCATATTTTCTATAAACTGCAAGAAATTCTCAAAGTATTAATTCTGCCTCTTAATGTAAAGAACTACACTTATTATCTTTCTATAAAATATTACTATGAAATTTTAATAGTTATATTTAATTTTAATATCTGCGATGAATAAATTGATAGCTGTTTGTTGACATTGATTTGTTGACATTTGTTGCATTGTTTATTCTTACTTTTACTTTCCTTTTAAACTAGGAGGATTGAATACAAAACTTAGATTTAGAATAAGAAATATCATTAAAAAATATCACTGGATATTTTTGGCGGTAAATTTAAATTCACGTTATTATTACATAAAACGAAATGTTCTACTTATTATTAACATTTATTTAGCATTTCGTCTATTTTAAACATACAAGTTAGGAGTGCGGGAAGTTACCCCCCTATTTTGATTTTTAAATTTTTTATTTTCTAGATTGTTCTAGAGATGTTCTACCCTTGTTTATAGATATACATAGTTATCCAACCGGTCGAGTTGGGTTGTTCTAGCTCGTGCTGCCTCTAACGGCAAACGAGAAAAGCATCATTTATGAATGAATTGAATAAAATTGGAAATCCAACTTGTAGTGGAAGTTGCATACTCAGAATAAAAGATTAATTGAATTTATGTGATTGAACACGAAATTGTTTAACATATAAAATATTTAATTACATTAAACATTACATCTAAATATTTTAAAAAATATCTGTCCTTTTTTATAACAGAGAACCAAAAATTGCCTTGCTAATTAAATGGTGAGTTTTGATTTTTGTTCGTCCTATTGCAGACTTAGTTCCAGACGTGGTAGCGCCGAGCGTTCCTCCACATATCAAACGAGTAGGTAGTATAAACAAAGTTTTTTTGCAACTACTCGAGTTTGGGTAAACGATTTCACGTATATAAATTCGTTCTTTATTATTTCGTCGTTGAGAATTTTTTGGTTAAAATACAAATACGAAAATTAAGAAATATTAATTAGAATCAATTAAATAAATAAAAACGAAGTATGTATTTTTGATTTTATTAACGAGTGTTTCTAAATTGATGTGAGAGATTTCAAGGGATGATTTTTCAGCGAAAATTACGGGGTGTTTTTCATATAACTTTTGGTTCAAAACCCCTTCTCCTCCAAGTTATAGCCCTAATAATAATTAAGGGAAAAATCTGCAACTTTGTTAATTGTGAATTTGACATAACTTCACTTCTTTGACTAATAATAACCAATCTCTGAATTAATTCACTTGAGCCTGTATATTATTTTTATTTTTTTGTGATCAAACTAACAATTTTAGGAGAAAATGTCAAGAGACAAAAAACTTCCGTATTGAATCCCACTATTTAAATTTTTAAAAAGTTTTTAAATAGAAAAATGTAGACGTATTAAAAAGTTCTAATGCAAACTATTATGGGAGTGATTTTTTCAGCTTCTTGTAATTACATTTTCGGGTTTTTATTAACAACAGTTATCTGCCAAATTTCAATCTTCTAAATTCCTCCATAATGGATTTATTAAATAAAAATAATTTTTCTCCTAACTTTAGAGTACTGTAACTCGGTGGGGAAGAGGTTTTGAACAAAAACTTATATGAAAGACTCTCCTTAATTTTTGCTGAAAAATCACTCCTTGAAATCTTTCGCATTAATTTAGAAACACCTGTATATTAATGAACTTTTTTAATTTGACTTTATTGTGTTAACTGAACATAATGAAAATCATGAATACATAATAACAAAAAACATAACAAATCCTGCTAACTACTTATAATTGCAAATTACAAATTACTTATGTTGTAAAATAGTAACTTTATTGCTTATTTTAATTATGCATGGAAAGGGACACGATTGCTGAAAAAACTAAAATGACTTTTGTTTATGGAGCAGGAATATTAATTATGCCCAAAATTTATTCGAACAAAGATTTCTAGACAGAAACATCCTATCTTGTGTAAGATCATCAATAGAGAAAAAGGCGCTACAAGATATTCAATGTTTAAGCTGCTGTTTGTAATAATCCATATATTTCTTCTCGCGTAATTTCTTATGGCTCTGCTGTACCCCACGCGGTGTACTTAGATTTTTACATTGCCATAAATTTCACCCGTACGCTCTTTGCATCACGTCTGTCAAGTTGGCACTACATCTTGCGATTTGAATAAAAAAACTATGCATTAATTATATTATCGCTTAATTTGTTGTGTAATTTTGTTGTGATTTTTATGAATAATTTTTGAGGTATTGTATTTTTGAGGTAGTGCTAACTTGACAGTGGGAATCTATGGTAAAGAGTGGAGACAACAAAAAACTAATGACGTCATAATTTGTCGCTTAATTTGTTGTAAAGTTTACAAATTTGTCGCATCCTTTTTTATAAACAATATTTGAAATATTGCATTTCTTTCCTTCAAATTTATTTTAGTTGGTGGCGTACCAACGCGCGCGGGGTACAGCTAATATTGTTTATAAAAAAGGATGTGACAAATTTGTAAAGTTTACCACAAATTACAGCAAATTAAGCGACAAAGCATACTTAACAATTGAAAAATATGAAAAATATTATTTTATTTCTAATATGCAATAAAAATCGTTCAGAATACTTTCCGCCTTTATACGATGAAAGTCTTATCTGAAACTTTTTTTATAAAATTGATGTTTTATGAGTTATTAGGTAGTCGCAATTTGAATGACTCGGTATATAAAATATAATCTTTAAAACAAACTTCTTAAAAAGATTTAACGCAGTTGGTTTCCTCTCATAAAACCTGTTCATACACCTACTTAAAAAAATTTGGCGTCTACAAATCGGTACCTACCGACGAATAGTCTCCAACAATTCGGTATTATTCTCGAAGGACACATTATCGATTTTTTTCTATGCAAGAAATACTAAAATATATGCAACTTATTTTACGTTTTTCGTAAAGTAAAGTTAGGGCGCGTACAGTAAAATTTAAATTTTTATGAATGGCGACACATAAATTACCCTGCCATCTGGGGATCATGTGCACAAACTAACATCGGTTGAATAACTATGTATATCTATAAACAAGGGTTCTACATTGTTCCAAAGCGGCAAATTGAAAAAATAAAAACTCCACGAGAAAACCGAAAAAACAGGTTTTTTGACTAGCCCCCCATTTTTGGAAAAGTGAAATTTTCTTTGTTGTTCTGGGTTGTTCTAGTTGTTCTAGTTATTGTTCTAGAAAATCAAAATTGTGGGATACAGCATTACGAAGTTATAACTAAAAATAGGTTTGGCCGCTGAAATGTCTGGTTGATTGCTGTGACCATAGCTTTTCTATCAATTCCATATTACAAATATATACCTATTATAGCTAACGCAATCTGGAACAGCTATTATTTTCACTAGAACAACTCTCTAAAGGGCACTTTACTCTTTGAAAATTAAAGTTTTTCGAAGTTTTAATAAGAATTAAAAAACATAGAACAATCAGAAATAACTCAAACTTTGCCGATTCAAATTGTTCTAGATGTGTTTTGCGTTCAACACGAACATTAATTTAGCAAAATCACATATTTTTTGTTGCTCTAAATTGTTCTTGTTGTTCTAGGTACTTAAAATGTTTATTTAATCACTGCGGTTTTAGTTCTTTTAAAGTTTCATATAATAATAGTTTTAAAAAACTAAAAAAATAGAGAATAATCTGACCATCATAATTATCTAAAAATCACAAGTTTCACATTTCTCTTTAAACTTATAATAGTAAAACAAAAGATGCGATTTAAAGTGTATTTATTTTGTATAAACTAATAAATTAATAAATAAACTAAACTAAGAAATAAAACAANAATAAACACCATCTTCTCACTATTTAGTGTAAATTTTTAATCTATTCACCTACACTATATAGTGCAAAAAAATAACTCTAAATAAATTGGACCGATCTGAACCATGTTTTAGAGTTGATTTTTTCCTGTGTGTGCATTTATTTCAGTAGCTTCTTCAACTTGTACGGATTTTTTTCGTAAGTCATTAAATAATAATCCAATTGGCATTGTTGGGCACAAATGCCGGGTAGTATCCTACATCATTTAAAAATTGAATACCTTCGTAATTGATGATACCTGTGGGGATGTGGAATTTGTTGTAGAGTTACAAATTGCGTGCGTAATCACTCAATTTTGTTTTATTGTTCTCTCCATTCGTTGTACGGGCAAATGCTAAAATATGAAATATACTGTCGAATCCGCAAGTATTTTGAACAATGTATTTTTTATTTTTTATTGAAATAGATATTAATAACTTACTTATGAACTTATGAAAGAATTACTAACTGAAACTTCCTAAAATTTTAATTTTCAAAGAGTAAAGTGTTCTTTATAGAGTTGTTCTAGTGAAAATATTAGCTGTTCCAATTTGCTTAGGTATAATAAGTATATATTTGTGATATGGAACTGAAAATAGAAAAACTATGGTCACAGCAATCAACTAGACATTTTGGCAACCCAACCTATTTTTAGTTATAACTTCGTAATGCTGTATCCCATAATTTTGATTTTCTAGAACAATAACTAGAACAACAAAGAAAATCTGATTTTTCCAAAAATGGGGGGTTAGTAAAAAACCTCCCGTGTCTCCGTTTGATATTTGGTATACGTCGAAATCAAAGGATCTCTTACAAGTTGCCCGAGATACGGTGGCTGAGTATGAAAGCAAGGAGAATTTTTTATGAGGGAGTATTATTTTTCAAAATTACTATGTTCAAAACTCCGGCTTACTTGCACAATAAAATCAGATTTAGAACGGACGTTCATAATATAAACGTCCGCAGAAAGAACTGCCTGTCTATCCTGCCTCATAGCACCCAACTGTTTAAAAGGTCTTTNTGAAAATAACAGCTGTTCTGAATTGTTTTAATTGTTGTAAGTAGTAATTTTTAATATGAAACTTTAAAAGAACTAAAACCGCAGTGATTAAATAAACATTTTAAGTACCTAGAACAACAAGAACAATTTAGAGTAACAAAAAATATGTGATTTTGCAAAATTAATGTCCGTGTTAAACGCAAAACACATCTAGAACAATTTGAATCGGCAAAGTTTGAATTATTTTAGATTGTTCTATGTTTTTTAATTCTTATTGTGTAATATAAAACCGCTGTCACAAGAATTACTGACTGAAACTTCCAAAAATTTTAATTTTCAAAGAGTAAAGTGCCCTTTAGAGAGTTGTTCTAGTGAAAATAATAGCTGTTCCAGATTGCGTTAGCTATAATAAGTATATATTTGTTATATGGAACTGATAATAGAAAAACTATGGTCACAGCAATCAACTAGACATTTGGGCGGCCAAACCTATTTTTAATTATAACTTCGTAATGCTGTATCCCCTAATTTTGATTTTCTAGAACAGTAACTAGAACAACCCAGAACAACAAAGAAAATTTCATATTTCCAAAAATGGGGGGCTAGTCAAAAAACCCGTTTTTTTCGGTTTTCTCGCGGAGCTTTTATTTTTTCGATTTGCCGCTTTGGAACAATGTAGAACAACTCTAAAACAATCTAGAACAACAATAAAAAAATTAAAAATAAAAAAATGGGGGGCTAACTTCCCGCACTCATTGTTCTTGTTCATTATATTAATTAAATTAGATTTAGTTTAAATAAAAGTAGTAGTAAATTAAAAAAAATATATGAAAATACACATTTTCTGGGGGGTATTTTCTTTTCATTATTCCTAAAGGTAATTACCCCTTATCTACGCCCTAGGCAGACCTCTTGAAAAATTAGAATTGGGTTTATCAAAAAAAAATCAAAGGGTGTATTAAAACAATTTTAATTTTAATGATAAGATACAAAAAAAACAACATAATTAAAAAAAAAATTAATAAATAGGGAATACAGAATCGACGTATTTCGAATACGAATGCAATCCACCTTTAACGTTTAAAAAAACAACGGGTAAGTTTCCGAAAAGTTCCCTCAATTTTAAAACGGCATACAGCTAAATGATCCCTCTCATCCAATAAATCAATATCGATTATTTTATCGTGTGATTTTGCACCGCAAAATTGTTCGTAATCAATTAAAGTCCTAATCGATGGGTTATCCCCGCAAATAGCACATCTCTGCCAATACCAAATCCTCCTGACCAATTAATACAATCCAGTAAATAAAAAGTGAATAAGTTATCTCAAAAACTGGACGTGATGGAGAAAAACTGAAGACAGTTTCAGAATCAGCACAACATTCTACGTTATAAAAAAAAATATCACAGTCTTCGAGATTTTTCTTGTAAACTAGTGTTGCATACATTCAATGATGACGTTGGGTACGATCAACGTCATCATTGAAAGTATGCAACCAACATCACAGTGCAATACGCATCTTACGCAAATCGCGTATTGCAATACCAATACTGTGATATTGGTTACATACTTGCAATGATGACGTCGGATAAGTAATTAATTAACACACTGTATGTAGTAAGTGTAACGTTCATTTAAATGTAGAGTACTTTGTGAAGGATCACATTAAATGATTATAATATATTGTTATTCCATTTGTGCGCATTTGTGCATTCCATTTCCTACTAAAGTTGGTATTTGCTTAATTAAATAATTAAAACTTTCATCTTGATTCGATTTTAATTGGGTTTATCAAAAAAAATCAAAGGGTGTATTAAAACAATTTTAATTTTAATGATAAGATACAAAAAAAAACTAACATAATTAAAAAAAAAATTAATAAATAGGGAATGCAGAATCGACGTATTTCGAATACGAATGCAATCCACCTTTAACGTTTAAAAAAATAACGGGTAAGTTACCAAAAAGTTCCCTCAATTTTAAAACGGCTCGTTGCGAATCGTTTCCTCTGCGACAAATAACCAAAACGTTGTTTGATTTCCCATTACAAGTCGAGGTAATTTTTAGTTTTAAATCTTCTAAACAATCGTTTCTTTGTATACTAGTGTAGGGATAATTATAAGAGTTAGGTAATTTGCACATAATAAATTCGGTGATGGGTCGCACATCGATCAATAAATTATTTTCGTTTAATTTGTTTTTCAAATCGCGTACATCTAAATGATCCCTCTCATCCAATAAATCAATATCGATGATTTTATCGTGTGATTTTGCACCGCAAAATTGTTCATAATCAATTAAAGTCCCAATCGACGGGTTATCCCCGCAAATAGCACATCGATTATTTTTCGTTCGCAATTTAATGTTTCTAAAAACCGTATCACAACCATCAAAAGTTAATAATTTCGCTGATAAAACCCCTTCCTCTCGAATTATAATTTTAATAGTTTCCAATGCTTGTAAAACTCCGATCACCCCAGGAATCATTCCTAAAACTCCTCCATCTCCACAACTTGTAACAGTTTCAACTGGAGGTGGGACAGGAAATAGGCAACGATAACATGGTCCATTATCGTAATTATATACAGTTAATTGTCCCTCCATTTGTAAAGCACTCCCCGAAACTAACGGGGTGTTATTTAAAACGCAAACATCGTTCAATAAATATCGTGTTGCTACGTTATCGGTACCATCGACAACGACGTTATATTTATGCTTCTCAAATAATTCAGTAAATGTTTGGCTATCTGCGTGAAGCTGTTTTGGGATAATTTTAATTGAACTGTTTATATTTTTTAATTTTTCATAAGCAGATTTGACCTTCGATACACCCAAATCACATTCCGTGTGTAAAATTTGACGATGAAGATTTGTTTCTTCCACTACATCATCGTCAACTAAAGTTATTTCTCCTACACCAGCCGCCGCTAAATATAAAGCGCAAGGGCAACCCAATCCGCCCATACCAACTATTAAAACTTTGCTTCGTTTGAGAGCTATTTGCCCATCTAAGCTTACTTGCGAAAGAAGCATTTGTCTACTGTAACGGATTACATCAGTGCTAAGTAACCCCGGACAATAATGATTGATCTGATGGGTTTTCTAAAACAAAGAAATTTATTTAATTCGTCCTTAAGTACTTAATAAGAAATTGTGATTTGATTTATAGGTTATGTCAAACCATTTTCTTAAGCTCGTGCAATTGACGTTCTTTCTTTTGAAGCTCCAACTTCAATTTCCGAATATCAGCCTCTAATTCTTTAATAATTTGGGTATCCCCCGACATTTTCCGCAAATATAATTTTAAAAAAACCACAAATTCACAAAAATTTGACAGATTTCAAACAAAAAACATATGAGTTTGAAATTGAATTAATCAACGATCCGGCAACGTCGCTCGCGCGTTAAAAACTGTCCTATTAATATATACAGAGTGTTTGTAAAGAAGTTGATATTACAGCTTCAGCATTTTGATTTGTTTTTATTTCAAATACTTTTAATTCATAAATGGAATATAAAGGTAAGAATGTTTTATGAAAACTTTATAATTTTGTTAGTATTTTAAATCAATAATATTTTAAATTTATTAACTTGTTACTTAGTGTTGCGTTTGTAAAATAAACCAACGGAGTAATTTGACAAAATAACTTTATTGCTTCTAATTATAAGATTTATAACCAACAGTATACACAATATGAAAGAACCAAGGTCAATTGAGTATTGGTTATGTTTTATGTTATAAGGTTATCCAACTCCAGGTCCATGTAGGCAGCCCACCGACATAGCCAAAAATAAAAAATCTTTTTGCTAAAGTATTGTACTAATTTATTTGTACCCTAAAGGTGCATCTCCACTATGCCGATTGGCAATACCCGTTGGCTTTGCCTGAAATTATGTTAACCGAACTAAAAAAGTTAGCAAAGGATTGCGAATTTGAACAAGAGGAATCACTAATAAGAGTTAAGATGATAATAGAAATTAGAGATATTAATCTGCAAGAAAGAATGAAACAACGTTAACGTTAAATGAAGCTGCAGAATTTTGTTGAGCTCATGAAGCAAGTAAGCAACAAGTGAAAGTACTTCGAGAAGAAAAGAGCGAGGAAATAAATGTAATCAAGAAAAAACAAGATATGTATCATTGTAAAAAATGTACTACTGAGCATGAAGTACGAAATTGTCCTGCATACAATCGGAAATGTAATAATTGTGGTAAATACGGACATTTCAAAGTAGTTTGTAGAAAAAGGATGAACGAGGGCAGGAAGGGTAATGAAAAGAAAGATAATTTTAGAAACTATAAAAAGGAAAAGAAGAAGATACACCAAATTGAAGATTCTAATAGTACTGGTGTTGAGTTGTATCTTGAGGAATTGTTGTTGATTGGTGAGGTGAGAAATGTCCAGAATAAGAAAACGTGGACATATCCATTGAAAATAAACAAAAAGAAGATTGAGTTTAAACTGAATACTGGTGCCTAAAATGTCATGATAAAAAAGAAAAATGCACAAAATTGAAGTTTGTGATCGTAAAAAAAGGAAATACTCCAATACTTGGGTTAGATGCTTGTGTTCAGTTGAACTTAATTAGAAAATTAGATGTACTAAAAGAAGAATCAAATAGACATAACTTCATAATAAAAAACAAAGATATATTTCCTGGTTTAGGTAAATTGCCGTTTAAATATAAAATAAAATTAACAGAAAACGCACGACCTACAGTGAAACCAGCAAGAAGAATTCCAGATGTGATAAAGAAAAAATTAAAGGTAGAAGTAGTTTTAGAATACAACGTATGCATTTAAAATTGATAAAATACGATATTGCAGTAAAATATGTGCCTGGAGAACATATGTATATTGCGGATATGCTTTCCAGAGCATCAGTCAAAGAAAATTTAATTGATGATAATGGGCTGGAGGGTGTGATTCATGAAATAATGTTGCAAGAATTATTACCTATGTCAGCTAATGAAATAAAAGAGGTAAAGGACAGAACTAAAAATGATGATATACTTAGTCAGGTCATTGCACACATAAATGCAGGTTGGGTTGATTATAACAAAGACAAAGTAAACAATAAAGATTTAAAATAGTTAAGAAATGAATTATATACAAATGATAATATAGTATTTTACAATGATAAACTTGTAAGACCTACCTCATATAGAATTAAAATTCTTAAAGATTTACATAAAGGCCACGTAGGTATAATAAAAACGAAATTAAGAGCTAGAAAGATAGTATGTTGACCGAGAATGAATGAAAATATTGAGTTTATGGTTAAAAAATGTAGAGACTGTGAGAAACATCAAAGATCTTGCATCACAGGACCATTAATAAATCATGAACTACCTGAATTACCATTTAACAAAATAGGTATGGATATAGCACAACATGCAAAACAATCGTATTTAATTGTGGTTGATTACTAATCAAAGTGGTTAGAAATTGTACCAATTAACAGCAAAAGCATAACTGAAATTATAGGAAAACTTATGACTATCTTTGTGACACATGGTGTACCACAATATGTGGTATTTGAGAATAATCCTTTTATGGTTTCCGAGATTTTGCAAAAGAGTGGAATTTTGAAATTATTAACTCTAGTCCATACTATCCAAAATCCAACAGACTTGCTGAAAAGGCAGTTGGAATAGTTAAGAACATAATCAAAAAATTCGAAAGACATATAAATGGGTTTATTGGAGTATAGATGTACACCATTAACAGGATTGTCTTATAGTCCAAGCGAAATTTTAATGAGCAGATAATATTTGGAAGCTTATAAGTTGCAAAAACAGAATCAACATAAAATAAAACAAAAATATGACGAGAATACCAAGGAAAGGAAGCCATTTAAACAAGGAAATAATATTATTGTTCAGGATAAAAATACTAAGTTGTGGAAGCGAGGGCATATTTTGAAAGAAGGCGAAAATCCAAGATCTTATAAAGTCCTGACTGAAAACATTGTAGATAAAAATAGTATACACATCAGAAAATCGGTAAATGAACCAATATGCAATGAACCGATATTCAATGAACCTTTGCATATAACTGTTAACAAACCAGAAACATTGTAAATTCAAATAATAGTTTAAGTGAACCAATTGAAAAAATTAATTCACCTAAAATAAATGAAAAAATACTTACAGTGATACAATAAAGTCTACATACATCCCGGAAAATGATAATATCTCAGCTCCCAAAATGTAATTCTAAATTATAGTTATTCTAAATTTTTTAACAAAATATGTAAGAAGTCTAAACCTGAATGTTTCTACTTTTAGGTGTAATGTTAGTTCTAGAGACAGTGGTAAATAGCGCAGTTAGCATAAGATATCATTATGTTGCATTTTTTTATTGAACTAAAACTAGAACTAACACAAGACCTAGAACTAGAATAATTCGGGTTTAGCCCTCTTGAGAGACGTGCGGCTAAACCCGAATGTTTCTAGTTCTCGGTCTAGTGTTAGTTCTAGTTTTGCACTATCACTAGAACTAACACAAGACCTAGAACTAGAATCATTCCGGTTTATCAGTCTTGAGAGATTAGCACGACTAAATCCGAATAACTAAGCCGAGGTCGCTTGCGGCCGAGGCAATACATTTATAACATATCGTTTGTGAAAATTAACCAGTTCACAACGATATCAAGAGTAACTAAGCCGGGGTCGCTTGCGGCCGAAGTGATATATTGATACCATATAACATGTAATAACTTACCAGATTTTAACGTTATCAAGAGTAATTAAGCCGAGGTCGCTTGCGGCCGAGACATAGCATCGATACCAAATCAATAAAACCGAATGGATTACAGTGACACGTCGCTGAATTACGCCAAGATAGAGGCACTATCACTAGAACTAATACAAGACCTACTAACACTAGAACTAGAATAATTCGGGTTTAGCCGTTTTGAGAGACGTGCGGCTAAATCCGAATGTTTCTAGATCTAATGTTAGTTCTAGTTTTGTAGTATCACTAGAACTAACACAAGACCTAGAACTAGAATAATTCGAATTTAGCCGTCTTGACAGACGTGCGACTAAATTTGCTGCTGTAGCCTTCACTTCGTAGCACAAGTCGAACTGTTTCGACTTTATATTAAAATAATATAGACTTCTAATATCCATCGTTTAAAAAAATCATTGAATTACATTTCAGGAGCTGAGATATTATCATTTTCTGGGATGTATGTAGACTTTATTGTATCACTGTAGGTCTAGGCGTAATATTATAAAACCACTAAAATTAAGAGATTATGTATTAAGTTAAGCGCGGGGATGTATTATATGTATGTTGGTAGCATTAAAACCAACTTCATGGCATATTATTCTATAAGTGACATGTACGATGATTGTGTAAAAACTAGATTCTGGTATAGCTTTGCTAATAATAGTATATTAAAAAACAAGTTTCGTAAGACACGCTTGAAATGCACGAATTCAAGTTGAAAAACGAGTGGCGAAGCCACGAGTTTTTTAATAAATACATGACACTTTCAACATTAATTTCAATTTATGGGTACACTAAAAATTATTTTAAATAAAAGGACAGAAAGTTAGACCTTTTTTTATATTTAAAATATTTTTTTAATAATTAAAATTAATATATCTAAATATATTTTAAACGGCTTTTAAAGCTAATGAATTGTCGCCATCGTTTTTAGGAACTTTCGTCGCGTTGCAATACCAATCTGTGATATTGGTTGCATACTTTGATGGGTACGATAATTAAATAACACACTGTACATTATAGCAAGTATTCTTGTGTCCCACTTAAAGGAATCATCTCATTCAAGAATATTTTGTT